TGACTCCCAGGCTATGCCCTGGTGTGTCCTTCCTAGTGTGAGGCCCAGGCCTGGGCCCCCCGATGGGCAGGGTCAGACAGATAGGAGAGGGACTCAGACCTCCATGGAAGTCCTCAAATCCAGTTGGAACAGCTGACTTGCCCAGCAGCTAAAGGACTCACATATCACGACTTAAACAATATTAGCCCCTCGACACAGCAACCATGAATCAGGAAGCCCGGCAAAAGCAAGTTAAATTTAACCAACTTTGGCAGCAGGGGTGCACTTCCCCCCTCTGTCCTGCACAGGCCCGTTTTTGCAACGTTGGGAGACTGAAACAACTAAATACGTATTCCAAGCCGCCTCCCCCAGAAGGAAGTCAGAGCCACTTTTCAATTACACAAATTACGTGCATTTTTCCATGTGTGAAACTCAGGGATTCCTCGAGTCCCTTGAATGACAGCAGACCCACACATCCAGCCCTCCACCATCTCTGGAAGCAAGCTCAGCCTCCTGGAGGTAGGAAGGGGGAGGGGAGCTCCCCAGAGTCTGGCCCCTAACAAATGGGGCTGTGTTCCCCGAGAGTGGGGCGAGGCAGAAATCGGGCTCCACAGCTGCTCCCCATCAGGATCCGGATCTTCACTCCTATGTCCCCCTTGCCCGGGGGGGGGCCCACCCCTCAATTCTGCTCTCAAACTGCTGGGTGCCTTCCAGTTCCCGGTCCCTCAGGGAGCCCCATCCATGCACAGTCCCAGATCTGCCCCACTGTCTGTCAGCAGATGCCTGGGAGAAAGTGGCCTATGAATCGTCCCAGGAGCCTGTCAACAATGCAGAGGGATTCTGTGGAGGTGGCTGAGAATCTGCATTTTCTCCAGAGCCCTCCACACCCCCCATGACCACGTCTGCACCGTGAGCAGCACTGCAGGGGAGGGGTTCGGGCCCCCAGCCCCTTCCCAGGGCTTCCTTCGGCTCAGCACTCGGTGAGGACCCCTAGGTGCCAGGCCCTGTGGAAGGCGCTGGGATGGAATGGGAGCCCCTGCCCCCGGGAAGCCTGCAGCCTCCCAGGGGAGACTGGAGATACGGGGCCTGGCAGAAGCGAGGCCTGCTTGGATGTGGTCGGGAGGGTAATGGTGTGGGTGTAATAATTTAGAGTTTGAATCCGAACACTTCACCTAAAATGTCATACGGTGTGCTCAATTGTGATATTGCTACAGAATTCCAAGCTTATGATTTTGCGATAAAAAATTTTGTAATAAAAAGGGGGTGTTATTTGTGCCGGACCCTGCAGAACACACCATTTCCCACACACTGTAAATGCCGAAGGCAACAGAGAAGCTACGTGGGACCGTTTCCCGGCCTTCTCTCCGCCCTCCTCTCACTCTCCCAGGAGCGGTTTTTCCTAATTCCGCCCACTCTTGAAATGTTAACACCACAGATAAGTACATACCCCTTTATGTACTGTAGGTATGTCCTGTGCTTTATATGTAAAAAGAGTGAGATTTTTTTACCTTCTCCCAGAAGGACCAATTTTCACCCCCTTGGGGAAGATGGCCCCTGTTGAAAAGGTACTGTTTAGGAAGGAAAAATTAGTTCATTTTGGGGACTGCGGATGGGGAGCCCAGAAGGGAAGGGACCAGGGAAGGCATCACAGAGGAGGTGGTAACTGTCCGGGGTTTTGAAAGATGATAGGAGTTCAAGCAGAGAAGGGACTCAGCATCAGGTCTCCCTCGTGGGGCAGTCTGAACTCCCGCCTTGCTCTCAGATGTCAGTGGTGGCTGGCCTCCAAGGAGGTCCTTGGTGTACCTCGCTTCCCACCACACTCTGTGCAGTACCCCACACACACATATACATACACATACACACACATACTACATCAGAGCTCATTTGTATGGTCAACAGAATGTGACAGAAATGATGATCTTCAACTCCTGAAGCTAGGCACTAAGACTCTGCCACCTCCGCCTTGACCTCGCTTTGGGGGAAGCCACTCAGGGGCCCTATGGAGAGACCCTCGTGGAGAGGCACCAACTTGCCAGGCATGCACGGGAGCCACCCTGGGAGCAGATCCTGCAGCCCCAGCCCAAGCTTCAGACGATGCCAGCCCCCAGCCTTCAAATCCCCCCACGGGGCGCCGAGCACCCTGGAGCAGAAGCAAGTCATCTGTGGGTCTGAATTCCTGACCCACAGAGACAGTGACATAATAAATTACTGTTGTTTTAGCCACTAAATGTTGGGGCGATGAGTTACACAGCAGTAAATGATGAAGATGAGCCCCATCTCATAACCTGGTTCCCTGCCTTGTCAACTCTGCTAGGCTGGAGGCCATCGTGTGCATGCTGAGGTCAGGCAGCTCTGGCTGGTAAGCCAGGAGTTTTCAACGTTGCGTTTGCCTCTGCAGCTCCTCAGAGAATTCCAGGCAGTCCCGGTGGGGCTGTGAGGGGGCCAGGAGGCGCCCTGGATTCCTCTCTGGGTGAGGGTTTCCTGGAGACCTTTCTCCCTCATCTGGGAGAAATGTCGATCTGCCAATCCTTGGTCCCACCATCCCTTCCTCCTTCCTCTGATCACTCAGTGGGTTCTACTAAGGTCTGTGAAGTGCTGGGCACCAGGAGAAAGAGGAGTAACTCAGGCCCAGGCTCCGTTTTCAAGGGGCTCACAGCCCAGCTAAACATGTCCTCGCATCTGCGGAGCCCTAAGACAGCGACAGGCAGAGAGCGTGGGGGACAGCTGTATATGCCTGCTGGAAGTAAACAGGGCGGTGAGGAAAAACAATTCCTAGAAGGGCTTCCTGGAAGAGGCAGCATTTTAAGCCAGGAGCTCTTAGAATGGGTAGGACTGACATACTGGATATGGAGAGAACGGGACGTCTTGGGTGGTGGGAACTGTGTTGCAGGAAAGACCAGAGGTGCTAAGAATTGGGGTGTTCAACCAGGGGCAGACAGGCGGTGCAGCAGGGGTGACAACAACCCTGAAGCCAGAAACACACAGAGCTCACGATGTGCCAGGCACAGCTCTGATCCCTTTGTAATCAATTAATCCATACAGCAGCCCTGTGAGGCTGGTCCTCTTGGGACCCTGACTGCATTTTGGGGTGAGGGACTGAGGCTCAGAGTGGCAGCTCAGAGTGGTGCGCAGGGTGGGCAGAGAGCTCCTTGGCATCCAGGAAAGGAAGCTCAGGTACAGAGAAGGGAAGTGACTTGGCCAGGGTCTCATGGCTGTTGACAGGCACTGCAGGGCCAGAAGCCGGGCTCACAGGGCACACGGAGCTGTGCCGGCTCCCGTGATGTGGTTAGGTTTGCGCTCCACCATGCATGACTCACTGCTGCCCAAACCCACACACTCCCACCTCCCGCTTTTGCACGCCCAGCTTCCTCTGCCAGCAGCGCTCTCCTCCATGCCTCCAGCTGTCCAACACCCTCTCCTCCTTCGCAGCCAGCTCAGCATCACTTCCCTCAGGAGCCTTTCTCGTCCCTGGGCTGAGTGGGTGGCCCTCCCTCCTCACACCTCTGCCATGGCTGGCCCCACCTCCCCTCCACTCCCAGCACCCCAGGCACACAGGGCCAGAGCCAGAGGTCTTCAGGCAACGCGAGCAAGCAGAGCAAAGCCAGATGCCTCTGTGGTCCGGCTCCTGCCTGCCCCTTCATTTTCACTCTCACACCCTGACAACACCCCAGCCATGCTTCCGCCCCACTGCCCTCTTTTCCATTCTCCAGACATGCCAGGTTCTTCCCATCACAGGCTGGCCGCTCCACCCATAAACACGGGTGCTCTGCGCCAGCCAGTCCTATCTCCCCTTCAGGCCTCAGCTCAAATGTACCTACTCCTGGAAGACTTCTCTGCCTGCCCCAAGGCAGTCACGGTTTATCTCGTTGCCCTGTTGACAGCCCAGTTTGCTTGCCTCAGTTTGACCACAGGGGCCAGACTGCCTAAGTACAAACAGGGGCTCATGAGCTGTGCCTCTGGGGACAGGTTACTTGGCTGTTGTGTACTTCAGTCTCCTTATCTATGAAATGGAATGACAATAGTACCTACAGCACAGAGCAGGCAGAAAAGGCTTAAATGAGTCAATACATGTAAGTGCTCAGAACAGTGTCTGGTATGTAATAAGTCTGACATATGTATTATACAAGTGTTAGCTCAGTATTATTACTTGTTTTTTTGCTTTCTGCCTGTCTCCCTCCTAGAATGTAAGCTCCAAAAGGGTAGATAGAGACTGTTTAGCACTATACCCTGTTTAGCACTACATCCACAGTGTCTACCAAAAATTGCCCATTGTGTTTGTTGGGTGGATGGATGGATGGGGGAGGCAAAGAACTAACACAGGTGCACGGGCAACCACTCATCCCAGGGGGTTACAACTTTCCATGCTCCCCTCTTGCACTCCATAGAACAGCTAGCTAGCACTGGCAAGTTTTGCCTACAACAGACTGCATACTCCCTGGTGGAACTTTAGGCTGTGCATAACATTTGCCTGTGTGAAGAGTAAATAATTGGCCGGGAACCCCAGGAAAGGCTTAACCGAGGAGAAAGGCAGTCTTAGTGGACAGGAGAACTTTGGTGGGGAAGAGAAGTTGGAGAGGGAACAGATAAAGGACCATCTGGGGACGGGAAAAGCCAGGGCCGGGTTCTGAGGCTTGAACGTCCAGGGTGCATTGGGGGAAAGGTGAGTTGTCCGGAGGGGCCAGGGCATAGAATATGTGGCAGGGACAGGAGATGACATGGGACAGGCAGACTGGCTGGAGTCTGATGGCCCTGAGAGTCAGGCTAGGGATCACCGAAAGATTTCAAACACAAAGAGGTGGTCTTAGGGCCACCCTGTAGAGACCCACTGTGTTGGCTATGCCAGGGTTGACCAGAAGGTCAGTCCAGGAGGTGGGGTTAGTGAGAAGCTATGCGATCACAAGAAAGGATGGGCCAGGGCCCAAATCAGGCAACTTGGAACCATGCTGGGCAAGGAACCATTCCTTCGAAAGACTGGTGGCCGTTCAAGACAGTCCCCCAAAAGAAGGTGGCTTGGAACTTACCTGGACCAGGTTCCAGCCTTGGAGGGACTCTGCGATGATGGACGTGACAGACGGACAGACGCCCCCAAACACCATCAAGTGGTTTGGCCCGTACTTGATTGCGTCGTAGAAGGCTTTCAGTCCTTTTGCATTATCGCACTGGGGAGCAACACACAGAAAGAGAAGCCCGAATTAGAAACCACTTTCCCGGGGGCGAGGGCCCAGCGGTGCCGTCACACAAACAGATGCGCCTCGTGAGAGGCCTCCGGACTTCAGGCTGCTCATCGGCAGGGCCTCTTGTTGTGCTAGCCCTGGGCCCGCGCTGCCAGCTCTGAGAAGCATGATCTTGGCACCCCGACCCCATTCCTGGGGTCTCCCTTTCCACGGTCATTTACGCTTAGGCTGGTTATTATCAAAAAAGCAGAAAATAACAAATGTTGGCGAGGACACGGAGAAACAGGACCCCTCGTGTGTTGGTGGCGGGGATGTAAAACGGTGCTGCTGCAGAAAACAGGCTGGCCGTTCCTCAAGTGGTTAAGTAGAATCACTGTATGATCCGGCATTTCACTGCTAGGCACACACCCCAAAGGCCTGAACACGAGAATCCCAACAGATATCCGTGCGCCGTGTTCACAGTAGCCAAAGGGTGGAAACAACTACTGTGTTCATCAGCAATGAGCGGTGGATACCAAACTGCAGTGGACACGTACGGTGGACCATTATTCAGCCTGGGAAATGAAGGAAACTCTGATACATGTTACAACAGGAATGAACCTCGAGGACATTATGTTAAGTGAATAAGCCAGATGCAGAAGGAAAACACTGTGTGATTCCACTGGTATGAGGTGCCTGGAGTCGCCAGAGTCACAGACACAGAAAATGAATGGCGGTGGCCAGGGCCGGGGGGAGAGGAGAGGAGGAGTCAGTGTTTACTGATACAGTTTCAGCCTGGGTGACGCAAACACTCGAGAGGAGTGGTGGCGACCCCGGCAGCACAACAGTGTGAATGCTCTGAAGGCCACTTAACTGTATGTACATCTAAAAACGTATTTTATGTTCTCTATCTTTTATCACAATTTTAAAAAAGGAGGGGGAGGAGGAGGGAGAGAAGGAGATGGGCTAAAGGGAAGACCTGGTTCAGCAGACGCCTGCTCAACGGGGCTCTGTGTCTGGGTGCCCAGGGTGGGTGCGCAGGGGACAGGGTTGGACACGGCCCCTGCCAAGGAGTGCGCCTTTGGGAAAGGGACACGGAACACACGACAGCAGACCCCGGAGATCAGACGTGAACGAGGGGCACAGTCCACGGGTGTGGGCAGTCAGGATGGCTGGCTTCCCACCTCCGCCTCTCTCACCGAGCCACGCGGTCAGTGTCCCCTGGACAGAGGCTCTGGCTCCTCCCCGTGGGGCCCAGTTCAGCCCACTCACCACCTGCCAGTCTGAGGGCCTTTGTGATACATAAAGTAGTCCTTCTTACTCCTCTGCTTTCCATGCACTTAAACCCCAAACTCTGAACAAAATGCAATTCTCAGAAGGTTGGAAATGCCATTCTCGGGAAAATCAATAGTGGGTACATGCCACCCTTTCACTCAGCTCATGAATAAGGGAATCTGCAGGACGGCACAGTGGAGTCCAAAGCAAATTTAAGAGACAGGGATTTTTTACAGTGAATGGAAAAAAAAAGAAAGAAGATAAAATTGCTAAGTTAGATATAAAAACTGGTTATTGTCTTACAGGGCAATAAAACTATAACCTTTGGGGACAGAAAGGAAAATAATTGAAAACCAAGTACATTGTACCAGTTTTAGAGAGTTGTTAGATGTCTGAGCTTTAAACTCCCCAGGCCAGACAACCCACAGGCAGGGCTATTGCAAAATGCTCCAAGTGTTGGGCTGTCTGTATAATTTTTCTACTTTGTATTATATACAAGTTTGGTATGATATTCTTAAGCCTCCTTTTCATGACGGACCAGGAAGCCACAAGGCCTGGCCTATGTCTCATTCTGACCTGATTCCCCTTCCCCACCCCAGTGCTCACCCCGTACAGCCTCACCAGCCTTTTTGCTCCTTGAAATTGAAAGCAATTTCCTTCCTGCCCCTGGGCCTTTGCACTTATTGTTTTTGCCAGGAATCACAGTCACTTGGTTCTCCGAAGAACTGGCTGCTTTTTATCATTCCGGTCTTGGCACAGCTGTTACCTCCACAGTGAAGCTGTTATGATCCCCCCTTCCCTAAATGGTCCCTGCTCCCAGTCGCTTACTAAAAGCCACCTGCTGTATCGCCCTAACGTGGTTCCTAAAATTATCCGAAATCATCTAGTCTTATTTTTTCGTTGGCCTGTCGATTGGCTGGCCTTACATCAGCTAGGATGTAAGGCCCCCGAGGGCAAGGATGGCTAGGGCTGCTTTCACTGCGGCCTCCTGGGGCTTGGACAGGGCCTCCGGCAGGACTCAGGGACCCTGAGGGGACTCAGGGACACAGGGACTCAGGAAGAATCTGCTGACTGCTGGAAGGAGCAGTTCTGATGTTCTCCCTGCAGCTACCTTCTCCCCTCTCCTCCTACTTCCATTTCTCTCCTGCCTTTTGTCTTGCTCTCCATTCTCTGTCTTCCTCTTTCTTTCTGTTCACTCTCCCTGCCCAGAAGTGACCATAATGTGAGACCAGAGGGGGTTAACATTTGTTGCTCCTTCCTTGTCTGAGAGACTCGGGACTGTGACCCAGGGTGGGTGATGAAAGAGATACAGAAACGAGTCCGACACAGTCCCTGACCTCAGGGGGCTCCCCGTCTGGTAGAGGCGGTGAGACAGGGGCATGGGTGGCCGTATCACATGGCGCACAGCACTCAGTGCTGGGGGCTGGCAGGTCCAGGCTGGGGGCACCACTAGGGGACCCAGGGGGGGCTCTGGGGGCGGAGCGCTTGAGGCTGAGTGACGAGGGCAAAGCGGCCTGGGCCGGGGCTAACCAGGGAGCTGGGATTGTAGCCTACCGCAATTCAAGAAAGAATTCCATTTTTAAATTTTTGATTTAATTTTTTAATTGGTCAACTTACTACTTTTTTTTTTTTTGGCCAAGAAAGAAAGAAAGCGAGAATGAGGAAAGGACAGAAAGGTAGGAGGGGAGGGAGAAAAAGGAAGGGAGGGAGGAAGGAAGGAAGAAAGAGTAGGTTGCTGGTCCTTGGGCCCTCTAGTAATTGTCCTGGTTCCTGATTGACAGCGACATGTCCCACCCTCAGCAGAGTGTGGTCAGATACTACAGACCGGTTCATGTTTTAATTATTTCCATCATGATTTACTGAATCATTTCCCATTTTAATACATTCTGGCAATGATTTTAGCTTGTTTTCTAATCTGTAGCTAATGACAATGATAACGCAGCACCACAAGATTTATAATCAAAGTTGCATTAAAATAATATTAGCAACAATGAACTAATTAATATTTGTTTGCTCAGCAAACAATTCCCCAGTACGCAGCTTGTGTGAGATTCTGTATCAATAATGATGCCCTGGCTTTTCACAAATAGACAACTTCTGAACATGTCAATGCAAAAACCTGAGAATATTTGACAACCAGCATAGTATCTGAGCTGGAAGAATCTTCCAATGTTCAGAAATGTTTACCTGGCTCAGTCTTCTCCAGGCTGGGTTTAAAGGGTGGAATTCTGGCTCCCATAACCTCCACCCCTTGGTCTCATGACAAAGGGACTGTAACACAACACAACAAAGGGACTTTGTAGATGTAATCAAGGATACAAACAGCTGACCTGCAAGTATTACCCAGGCGGCCCAATGTCATCACACCAGCCCGGAAAGCAGAGATCTCTCCTGGCTGGGAGCAGAGAGGGAAACAGGTGTTCAAAGCATGAGATTGACTCGATGGGCCTTTGTTGGCTTGAAGATGCAGGAGGACACCTGGCAGGTGGATGGGAGCCTCAGGCCCACAGCTGCAAGAAACTGCGTTCTGCCAACAGACAGAGTGAGTCGCGCCTCTGGATTCAGAACCCGGCCCTGCTCATCTTGACTTTGACCTTGTTTCCTGAGCAGAGGACCCAGCAGGGTCACACAGTGCCTGGACTTCTGTCCAATGGACTGTGAGACAATACCCAGTTGTGGCTTAAACCACTAGGTTTGTGGTAATCTGTGACCTCAGCCATAGACAACTCACACAGCACAGTAAAACCAGAAAAATAAGAATGACCTCTTCCTTCGAGTTAAATGTAGTCCCTATAAAAAACTCTCCTTAATTTATAGAGGTCTTTCATGGTGTGTATGGTGTTAAAGTGTTTTGCTACTTTAAATTATATGTCCTAAATTATATGTTTTTAATGTCCTAATATGACAAAAGAAAAAGTTTTCCACTCGGTGCAAGTTCCTGTCCCGCGACCACACTCCCAGCCCGTCCCTTCGGCCTTGGCTGCTCTGTGAGAGGCAAACGGGCGTGGGCTGCGCTGACCCAGCCGGCGCGGCATCCTCCTTCTCAGGTGCAGATGCTGAAGACCTGCCCTCAGTGTGAAGGGACTTGTCCACTGTCCTTTCAGGATTGGGGGGGGGGGGGATTTCGGGACTCCCAGTTGAGAGCTTTCTCCACAACCTAGAGAATGCAGCTCAGTGGGCAAGAAGGTTAAAGCTAGCGGTGTTCCAGAAAGGCCCACCCTCCCCAGCATTAGGCCGAAAGCCCCGGCCTCCTCCTGGTCAGCACTCTTGAGCTAAGACAGGAGAAACAACCTGCTAGGCACCAAGCTGGCTTCCTTGCCGCCCCCCCCCCCCCGGAGAGCACTGTTACTGTGAACAACAAAGCGAACAGCTCATGGGCAGGTCTGCACAATTTCGGTGCTCTCTCCCTCCTCTTCCTTTCTAACAGTGTCGCTTCCTGCCTGACGTGCTTAGTGTCCCAGAGAGACGGACTTCCCTGATCAAAGCCCAGCCTTCGTGGCTGGACCCGCTTGGGTGTTTTCAGAGTGCTGCCCAGGCCCTGGCTGGGTCAGCTCAGTTGGTTAGAGCTTCGACCTGATACCCCAACGTTGCAGGTTCGATCCCTGGTCAGGGCACATATAAGCAAGAAGCAGCCAATGAATGAGTAAATAAGTGGAGCAACAAATTGGTGTTTCTCTCTCTCCCTTCCTCTCTATCTCTAAAATCAATAAATGAAAATTGAAAAAAAACAA